TGGCCCAGCTAACCAATCACAGCACATTTCGTATTTCAGAAGGCGGGCCTTCATTTGATACAGGAACTATTCGAGCAGTTTATGCCAGACTGGGGAGAGAGGTGTTATAATAATGTAAAACATGAAAAATAATGTGTTTTTCGAACAACCTAGTATGAGAGCCTGTTCTAGTACACCCCCAAAACAAAATCAAGACTTTGTAAAAGAGTATTTAATGAGCAAATGACTCTTATGAACTGACTCTTTTAATGAATTTCTGCACTGAATGAGTTCTGAATGTGTACATACACTGTATATATGTGTGTGTGTGTGTGTGTGTGTGTGTGTGAGAGAGAGAGAGTGTGTGTGAGAGAGAGAGAGAGAGAAATACAATTAAAAATAACTATCTTCTATTTTTATATACAGTGGGTACGGAAAGTATTCAGACCCCCTTAAATTTTTCACTCTTTGTTAAATGATTTATTAGTGTGATTGGAAAACAAAATTCAGCTGCCATTGCAGTCTTCAGTGTCTCATGTTTCCTAATCATTCTAATATGCTGATTTGGTGCTCAAAAACATTTCTTACTATTATCAATGTTGAAAACTGTTGTGTTGCTGAATATTTTTGTGTAAACTGTGATATTTTTATATAAAATATCTATATCCTCTCTCCTTACTCTTCTTTTTCTCTTTATTTTTTATCCTCCATCCACACTCCATTTGTACTAATTTAAAAACCATGTTGAACAAGTCCACTGTGTCCCTTTCTCATCCCCCACAAGGACATAGACACACTCATTTTCTCTCCCTCTTTTGCCCACATTTAACAAGAAAGCACTGAACAAACCAAACGTGTCAGACTGGCCCCGGGGGAGCAGAGATTTTAAGTCCTGCACACTTCCCTCTCGCTCTCATTCTTTGCCATGCATCACTCCTTCAGATGGGCAGGAGTGAAGGAAGATTAAGCATGTCCAAGGGTCACTTTTCATTCATCAACTCAATTTACTGTAAAACATCAGTCAGCAGGTTTAAAGCTACAGCGAGCGAGAACGAGAGAGAATGAAGAGTAAGGACAAGAAGAGGGTGAATATAAGATAGAAAGTGAGTGCAAAAGAGCCCCATGAGGATTCTGCTGAAAGACAAGCAAACCCTCCTCCCCTTCTCCTAAATCACACCATGACCTTTCTATCCATCATGCCAATCGTCCCCTTGTGGCATGGTGAGTCACCTTTACTCTTTCTTCAGCAGAAGGATGAGCGCCAGCTCTCACAGGTACTTTATACTTAAACTAAACAATTTTTTTTACGTGTTATACACTGCTTTAAATTTCCCACACAGATTTAATACAAAGTTGATAAACGTAGCATGCAAGTAATCACGTATGAAACTGTGTGGCTTGTTCTTCAGAAAATTTAAAAGTCTATTTATATCAGTAGTAACAAACTTAGTACCTAGAGCAACAATGGTGTTTTACTGGAAACTATGGTTACCATGGTACATTTTTATAAGGATCGTATGGATATTTATGGACTAAGATGGAGAGAATTTGTTTCGAAGAAAAACAAGTGAGCTGCATTTGCACACACACTTCAAAAAATAATTCAAATACAAACCCAAAGCATCAACATACACAATTTGCATGAAATGATATCTATCGAGTGTCCATTTCCACTGAAATGATGCCTTCAAACTCTCATCTGGGTAAATCAGCTCTCTGAGAACCGCAGCCCTTCGCAGAGAGCTCTTTACTAGGGTTAACCTCTATTACACAAACAGCCATCCAGCACTTTGTTTCACCAACATTCCAGCTGAAGCAAAACTCATCTGAATCTATAAAGCTGAGTGCCTCTCAGTTCTTTTCCATTTAATTTCGCCTTCATCTAGTAAAGAGGCAGGAGCTCTGTGACATGCCATGTGTCCCTCCTTCTTCGTGTTATTGAGGGTGACAGCTGAAATTTTATTAGTTTTCCTGCTTTTTTCTCTCTTCCAGCTTAGAAATGTGCTAAAGTACAATGCCTGGCACTAGGTGATGCTGTGGGACAAATATATTAATGGTATTACAGTCCTTAGATTCAATTTCTATTTTGTATTGAGTTAACTACAAAATACCAATTAATTAATTATACTGCGTATTAGTTTTTGTATGCATATTAAGGGCAAAGTCGGCCATTGAGACCTTTGATTTGGCTCGCCATGCCATATCACAAAAGGAAGGAAAAATAGACAAAAAAAAACTTCTAATTGATTATATATAGTGAATTTGATACAAAGAAAATATTGATATTTTGATATTTTTTTAATTTAAATTGTTGTTTAATTTTTTTAATGTAAACAAAAAAACAATATATGTGAATTTGATTAAAGTATAATTTCAATGTAAAATAATGTTATTTAAATTTTTGTTTACTTAAAAATGTAACAAAAGTAATTCATTTTAATATAAAATATGCACACACACACACACACACACACACACACATTTATATAATATGCATGACTTTAACTGTTGAATACTTTTAAATATTTTATTGTGCTCTTCAAATCAAAAAGGTTGAAAATCCTGCTTGACTCTACCATATAAATAGCAGACTGTTTTCCTAGCATTTATTATTTATCTACAGATATTCCACTGCAAAAATTCTTCAAACAGCTGTGATAAACATCACTTTTATGATTCATTTTCTCATTCATTTTCCCACCTGCAGTTCTCGGACCACCCTCTTGATGAGGTAGTTTCCAAGCTCCACCCCCTGCAATCCAGCCTGAGTGGAGGAGATGGAGTAGAAGATGGCAGCATTGATCTTGTTAACATCTTCATCCGCGTCTAGAGTGGAAAACTCTCTTACAATTCCCTAGGAAAATAAGAGGCACATGATAAATGAATAACCTCACACAGGATTTACTGGAGGCATTGCCAGAATCAGGAACCATAGTGAAGAATTCTTTACATTCTAGGCACAGTGTGCAGTTTTGGAGCATCTTTAGCCCCTGTCTTGCACCACTACTGTCTCCTTACACATTTTTCTGATCCTAGCAGGTACTGGTGAGAAGTAATGACATTGCACAAGGACGCTTTCTCCCTTCATGAACCCAATAATTCATTTACACTCTATTTGACCATCAAGCCATAAACTATTCTTTGTGATGAATACCAAATGTGAGTTTCATTTGCATTTACCTGGATATTATTTGCTATGTCCTCAGTTAAGGCAACGTGCAGCACCACCAGTGGCTCTCCAGGCATGGAGGCGTGGGTGAAGGCGTAACATCTCCGGTATGGCCCCACTCTGCATTTGATATCCGTCCAGTTCCGCACAGGATGGACCGCCTCGTACCTGTAGGATCAAACAAAAAAAGGCTCAACTGGGAAGACAAATAAAAAGGAAATGTTTATACATACAAGAGAGATCTTACTGGCTGATCTTCTGAAGGATCTCGCATGGGGACTGCCAAGTGATTCTTTCCAGTCGGAGTAAGCCAACAGAGAACCATTCTGACAGAAGACTCTTCAGAGTGCTGTTCAGATCCTAACACCAAGATATACAAACACAAGAAGATCAGAATTGAAGAATGTGAGAAGTGAACATGCAGTTTCATCACTAGAATACACATATAGCATAAAGTCCTGTATTATTTCTCATATTTAGGTTCTAAATTTCTCAAGTTCTTCTTCTTCTTATTATTATTTTAAATGTACTTTGTACATTGTGAAACCCTGAACCAGTATTATTTTACTATTATTTATATACTATCAGTTTCTTTTTTTTAATATTGTGAATTGGCTTTTATTTTTATATTTTCAGTTTTTATTTTATTTTTTTCTGATTTTTATTAGTTTAGTTTATTCGTTTTTTTTGTTTGTTTTTTCATTTTTATTAATAGTTTTTTAAGGTTACTATTTAAATGTTTAATTAATTTTTATTACAGTTTTATTTTTTATTTATTTCCAGTTAGTAATTTCGGTGCTTCAACATATTTAATTGTATTATTTATATTCATATTTATAATTATATGTATACTTTTTCATTTAGTTTAAATACATTTTTTTTTTATATAGTTTTAGTTGATAATATCCCTAGACTAACCAGACTAATCAGACTTAAATCAAAAATATTTTTTTCTAAATTCTATATTTTCTATATAAGCTATGTGAGTTATGTTCAAAACTGAACCACCCTGAAATGCTACATTCCCAATGCAAAACTTCCTCCTGACTGCACTCGGACCATTTATGATAACTAAGCAAAAATGGGTCATTCAGAAATCACAGTATTGCAAAGAGGTTATTTACATATATTCTTAAAAGTGAAGCCACAAAACCAGCCTGTTTAATCCTAAGGGTCAAAGAGAGTGTTGCAAATGGTCATGCAAAACTAAATCATGTACAAAAAACCTTGACTAATATTATAAATGGACTTCAGCGAAAAAAAGAATACTCTGCAAAAAGTGTAGAACACGGCCGGTTTAATATAATTCATGTGCAATACCCATCGATTTTCAAGAATCGTTCTCAGTACAGCTGCGCTCATAATGGTGCCTAATTATAAAGTGTGCAGCTTCCGTCAAGGGAATTAATATTTCACAGTCACTTTCACAGATCATGTGCAGCAACCCCACCAACTCACAGTTGCTGCTATTTCATCTGTAGTACTATACAAAACACTTTCAGAGTCGTCTCATTTTCCTCTGCAGCTCTTCGCGTCTGTTTATTTGCTCTGGTAGTGTTCTCATTAGAGCGCCGGGATCGGCGTCAGCGTCCATACTAGGACACTGAAAGATTTCTGTGGTAAACACAGTTCCATTTCATCAAAGTGCTGTTGCTCCCCACATGAGATATGGTTCTGCACTCTCCTTCGAGGGTCAGATTTCTCTCCTAATGGTGATGAGCAACACAACACACATACAAATATCTGGATCTAGTCGCCGGGGCACTCGCACAAAGCAGTTTTAAAAATTATACACTAGCCTATCCCACAGATGCATGTGCTTAAAAGAATTGCGGGCCTGTCAATCAAATGTCCACACTGGCCATCCGTACGTGTTTCGGCTTCATCTATAGGTAGTACACGTAAAATCTGACCTTATTGTAGTGCTTTCAGCTGTGCCTGCAAGCAAAAAGATCTCGAATTACCATTTCCCGGCACGCTTTTCCCTATAAACCCACTCGCTCAGATCAGCATACAGAAATGTGTCGCTAAGTGATGCATTTGTATGTAGAAAATAACCAGGAGGTGTCAAGGTAAAGGCTCCCAATAGCTCAATAGCAGCAAAACAATCTAACAAAGTTGAGATTGTAGCACTGCCTGAAAACAGGATGGCTGTTCAAGGAAAGCAGGCTATCAGGGACTCAACTAGCAATGTAGTCTACGGCATTTTGCTTTTCTGTCTATCTCAGCTTTACTCGGAGTGCAATCCACAGCCCATGGCCGCCCCAGCAGTCACCGTTCCACTTAACTTTAAACTCATCAAATCCTCTCTGGGCTGGGAAATTACTTCTAAGCATTTATTCGGTGTTCTACCTTCAAATTCAGGGCAGCTGAAAGCATTTGAAATTCTTCACCCAAAAGAGTTTTGTATTTGCTTACACGGCTGAATTTACTCTAGGGCCAAGCGTACATAAGTGGAATCCAACTTTGATATGTGCCATCGCACCGCAGGCCACAACTTTCAAAAGCGCTGCACTGTTTGGGCCGTTTTATTTATTTTCTTATGTGCATAAGGGAAAAGAAGATATCTAACTCGCGCTAAACTATAACCCGCGTCAAGGCAGATGCAGAGACCACAAATTATTAATCCAACCAAAGTGCTAGAAAAAACCTTTGCCACACTAAAATTTAAAAGGGCAGAGAACATTCGCTCGGTGGAAATAGAGTGCAGAATCTGCTCTGCAAAAAAGGAGCAAGAATGTCAAGGACGTGTCAATGACTGCATCTGAACAGAACCTGAAAGTGGGCTTTTGACATTCTCTCATTTCACTGACGTGAATGAAAAGTGGAGAAGGCAGGTGCAAATGGAAGAAATCTGACATTAAAGCAATTTTCACCTGTCCATACTTTACATAAAATGAAAGCCTGTTTTACACCTAGAGCATTTGAGAAATTGTAGCTTTGTAAAATATGCTGGGAAAAAAAATACAAAAATGCTTTAAGGGAATTGTTCATTTAAATAACAAAAAAAACAAAAACAAAATTCCCTTAACATTTACTCAGCCTCTTGCTGTTATAAACCTGTGACTTACTTTCTTCTGTGGAACATAAAGCTATTTTGAAAGTGAAACAATTAACTTTCATGGTATGAAAAGGAAAAAAACCTTGGATATTTTTCAAAATATCTTTTTTGTGTTTGTAATTTTTTTCAATTCTCAATCTTGGACTTTAAAAGTGAAAACACTTTTTTAATCATAAATAAATACATAAATAAGTAAATTGTGTGTACACAATATATATATATATATATATATATTAGTGCTGTCAAACGATTAA